TTTTAAAAACCTTCATATTTCGAGGAATTCGAGGTGGGAAGTTTTCAAATGAACACCCTGTATATTGTTGCTTACCGTGATGACTACATGCTTCCCATCTAATGCACCAGTGCAATGAACAAGATTCCAATGATCATTAAAGCCATTCGCTATTTGTTCCCAATCATCAGCAGTGGGTGTGCTTAGTACCTCTTCTTTCAGAGTATTCCAAATAATATCACATGTATCTCTGATAATGTGAGATACAGTAGTTTTCCCAACACGAAAAGCAAAAGAAATAGATATCATGCTATCACCTGATGCTGAATATCTGGAATAATGTTGGTGTAATAGATAAACTAAATAATATATGAATAAATGAAATTAATTAATTAATAAAAAATAGGTAGGCAATGTTTTGATTATATTATACCTCAATGTTATTGCTAATCTTTCAGATGGTGAAATTGGTTCTCTGGTCAGTTCAATCCTGTCTAGTTTACCTTCCATTCCCTTAAGTAAATTATTGAACAGTACTGGTGACATTCTGAAATAGTTGGAATATTCTTCTGGGTCACCATCCCTTAGCTCTTTGATTAGAGTGTGGTAATTACCATGTAATTTTCGAAGCTTGAATGTAGGCCTTACCCAAAATCGCTTGGAGCTCTTTTTCTCTTTTTCTCCAATTCATAATGCCAGTAAGTCAATGAAATTATAAAAAATATAAAATATCACCATGACTGTTCTAATCCTTATATTATTGTTTAAATTCATATTGCCATCCATATCTCAGTTTTCTTTTTTTCATAACCACTATTTTCAACATTAAATTTCGGAGAAGTTGACTTCAATCCAACTTCTTAAAATCTATTCGTACAAAAGTTAGCATTTGCTGCCACGAATTATATTTGAATGGATTTTGACATGGTTTCGACAGATTTCGTACGAAAAACGAAAATTTCGGATGCATGAAAACTTACCTTTATTCGTTTTGAGACCAAGCAAAATTCGTCAGATATTGCGTTGACGGAAGACGATTTCGGGCATTCGACTCTCAACGGGTGGAATGCCTGGCGGCACTTTTTCTTGGGAATCTGAAGTAGAGTTTGCTGCGAACATCTCTGCAAAAATATTTGCTTTCTCCTGCGATGTTGTTGCTAATGTGCCGTCGGATTTGGGCAGTGGTGGAAATGAACTATTAGTGAAATTTCTTCCGACTGCTTCAGCAAGGGACCAAAACGAATGGGGGCCATTGGGACAATCTATGAGTTTCGATCATATCTTGGCATTGATTCTCTCGAAGCATCTATTCTTTGGCTGCAGTTATTCCTGGCATCAACGTATTCTGCTTTAGTCGCGAGGTTAGGGTTTTTGCGCCAGAGATGGTAGGCTGTTTGTTTCAAGGCAACAGTTCTAGAACAGTTTTTGTTGAACTAGGGTTTCGAAGGTGATGATCTTTACGAAAAATGAGGTATGTATGTGTCCATTCCGAGCATGATGATCTCGAATATTTCCGCAGCACACTGTGAAGGGTCCTCAGAGTCAAAGCATACTCTATGCCAAGAAAACGCGAAAAAAAACATGCGGAGACCGTCCCAATCTCCTGAATTGTAATGCCATATAAGACGTGGGGGTGCCGGAGCAGTTGATGAAATGAAAAATGGGCAGGTTGTGGAGATGAGAGTGTGGTCAGAATTGCCAAGTGGAGCTCGTACATCTATGGTGTAGGGTGCTGAATTATTAGTGAATAATGAGTCGAGTATGTTAGCTGAATGGTTATTGGCATCGGGAATTCGTGTGATGGCGAAAGCTTCGGCTTGTCGCCCAGCTTCATCTGTTCTCATAGAGTGTACGAGCCAAGCAGTGTTGTGTACATTGAAATCGCCCATGATGATGATTTCTGCTGCTGGATGGTTCTATTGAATTTGGTCGAGCTTCAGAGACAAGAATTCGAAGATCTCTTCATAGGATGGATCATCTGGTGATGAGTAGAGACAACAAAGGTATTTGGTCTGTTTCTGGTTTTCGAGTTTGAACCACATGACATCAAACTTATTTGGTTCCAAATTTTGTTCTCGTTGACATGAAAGATTCGTTTCAGAGTAGAGGCAGAGACCTACCTTGAATCTGAAACGTGTGTGGAGTTCGTACCCAGGACAGAGCAGATGATCGTATTGGTGGATGAATTGACCTGTGTCTCAGTAAGAGCCAATATGTCTGGCTTTTCAATTTGAAGGTGTCGATGGACATCCTTGATGTTCTTACTTAGACCTCGGATGTTACATAGGTCTATCTTGGGGACTTTTTCAGTCGATGGTGAACCCCATCTAGCACCTCTCGCTTGTAAATCCGAATGGGGAGGTATTTTACTTCCGGTATGAAATGATAAGGATATAAAGATGTTTTTTTTTGCAATATGAAGAGAGGTAGGGACAAAGCAAGTTGTCAGGTTAGGAGAAATAACGGTAGATACATAGAAAAGGTAATGATATTCAGGATGTACGAGATGGAATTTTCACAAAATACCTAGATATGCATCATGTGTAATTCAATGATCCTCGTCAGGTATCATTTAGGAGTGTAGTTTATGATGATAAATATCATATAGGAAAATGTGTTTTTTGATTTTATGACAAACCATTCAATTGATAATATTGAAATTATCATGAAGGTAGGCAATACTCCTCAAGACAGTCATGTTAACATGAGAATGAAAATCAAATAATTAATTGGAGCAATTGAAATGAAAATCAAGAATACGAGGTGGGTCATTTCTATTCCAAATCAAGGAAGAATCTCTTTTTCACAATTCAAAAAGAAATTATTTGGCGAAACAAACATTTCCATGTATAGTAGAAAATAAATCCTTGAAAAAATTGGTAGAAGTAGGTACATCTTGATTCTTCTGTACTGAGACCTATCTTCTTGATGAACTTAGGATGAGCAATAGGAAAATCACGAGACATTGATTTTGTGTGATCTTACTCAGGTAGTTTTTGTTTTAGAGATCGTTAATCGAGAAAGTTATTATTACATGTGAAACGAGGAACTACCCTCTACGGCACTACAAACATGCAGCCCAGGAATCGACATGAACTACCAACAGTCACAGGTCCATATACCATGTCAAAGATTTATTGGTTCATGAGAAGTTTCATTACATCTGGAGTTATCGGGTAGATATAATTCGGACGGTAGAAAGCCTTGGAATAATGGAAAATGCAGTTGTCACGGAATGAAGAAATTAAGTCGACATATCACAACTATAGGACGCGATATGCATGCCCCAAGCAGAACCCACTTAATATCCCTCATGTGCCTCGAAATGCCAAAACCGCTATTTCCGTGAGTCGATACCAAATCGTACGACGATATGCCCTCCTGACCAGTTGCCTGAAAGGAGAGAGTTCAGTGTCACCAAACAATAGGAGTGTGGTGCCGGACCAAGTGATTTTCAGTGTGGTACTCTTCGAAACTCTCACATACGCGGTGAAAAAGACATTATCAATAGACAGTAGACAGTTCGACAAGTTTTTTGCACTCTATATACACAGTGTGTCCTGCTTTTTATGAATACACCCTGATATCTCAACTATTGATGGTGCGATACTCTTGAAATTTTTGTAGGGATTGTATGTTAGAAGAAGGAATTCAGCAGAACGAACAGTTTTATTCACCATTGGTGTGCAATGTTGAGGGGTACAAAAAAGGCCTTCATTTAGGAAAAGGATATAAGGACTCATTTCAGATGACTTTCTTCATCAGATTCATAATCAGCATTCCCAAAAGCCCCCAACTCGTATTTTCAAGATCCCAAGAGCTGAAATAAAATATTTCAAAATCCCGCTTTTCACGACAACAGCCTTAAATCTCAGTTATCAACGATGCGATTTTCCTAAAATTTTGATGGTGATTGTATGATGAAAAAACAACAAATAATCATCATCACAGTTTCGAGAAAATCGCATCATAAATAACTGACATTTTGGGGCGTAATCATGAAAAGCGGGATTTCGAATTTTTCTTGACATTTTGAAAATATGAATTGGGGGTTTTTGGGAATGTTGATTCTGAATCTGATAGAAACAGTTATTCAAAATAGGCCCTGATATTCTTTTTCCGAATAATGCATTTTTTTGTACCCCTCATTTGCACGCCAATGGTGAATGGAACTGTTCACTCTGCTAAATACTTCATTGTTATAACATACCATCATCACTGAAATTACGAGAGAATAGCATCATTAATAACTGAGATATCAGGGTTTATTCATAAAAAGCTGGACACAATGTTTATTTTTGTTTTTATAAACTTTTACTTCCATGATAAGAGTACTTTTCTCTACATTTGAATTCGCAATACTTGCACCATTTTATTATATTTCTTTCACCTTATTTATATTTGGAATTTTTCTACATTTATTCATTTTTTTCACACCATTTTTTTGGTTAGTATCTCAAAATTATGTAGATAGGTACTTTAAAACTGGGGGACCAGTTTTCTTGAAGGGGGGAGATGTATCAAGAAGTACAAATGCCTATGGAAAAGCATTATTCACAGTCGCGTTCATTTCAAGATCCTCAATTGATAATGATAATCTTTATTATTCCCAAAGAAACATATATGTTTTATAGCAGGGTGAATTATGGAAGAGCAACTTGAAGAAGAATAAAATGAGATAATCAGATAATCATTTTTGATAATACACATAGTACTTATAATGATGTTTCATCTGCAGACTGTTGAATATAAGTACTTGAATTGATTCAGGATGATATGAGAGCAAAGAAGATAAACGCTATACACGAACAAGAAGCGAATCATGCAGAAGTTGTGGGTGCGCATGTTCACCAGAAATGTCAGTATAGACGTATTTGACAAGAATGACGTGTGACGTGTTGACATTATGACATTCATTCGTTTACGTTTTTGTTGTTCAACAGTTTTCTCAATTTCATTTCCAATTATCACATTAATTCAATAATTATTAGACGAGTTATTGGGTTCATTATTTAGTTAGTATGCCAAGAGCTAAATCATTTTCGCATTGCGCCGTTTCAAGGTGTGAAACTGAATATGATGGACGAATTAGTTTCTTCAGATTCCCCAAGGAGAACAGGGAAAGGTAAATGGTACCTGTCTCTCTCAGTCAATTTTTCACTAAAACTTGTTATCATTTTCTAGGTTCCTGGAGTGGTTAGACCAGTAGACCTATGTGGAAGATTAGACCTGATTGACAAGGATTGCAATTTTTCATATACCAAATTGACTGTGTGTGGAAAGTATTTCACAGGAAACATGTTTCAAAACCATTTAAGGAACAGGCTGTTACCAATTGCGAAACCTGCAAATTATATTCCTAGGTGGAGCATGAAAACTCTTTACTTGGTATAATAATAAATAGTACTATTGATTATTGTTATTTCAGTATTCCTTCAGAGGTGAATGTGTCAGGCTGTCATGATTTGAAAAAGTCTAACATCCCTGAGGAGTAAGTATGGGTTCTTTCATGGCTGATTATTGATACTTTATTGCATTATCATTATGAAATTCATATTTTCAGAATCGGAGAAGCTTGTGTTAATCCTGAAATGGTGGAGCAGACACCACAATGCTCATTAACTGTCTTTCAACGAGACTCTAGTATAGATCAACCTATTGCTAGTTGTAGAACTCCTATGCTCCACTTGGGGTTCCTGAAAGGTAGGTGTATTATATATTCACATAGAGTGATCCATTCTCAGATCAGCACAATGCAGTTCATCGAATAGGTATCCTCAGAGAAAATGTGGATTTTCTCACAATGATATATACAATATTCTTGGAAAGTTCTGGACTGAATATATTCTAATATTGTAAGTATTCATGTGCTGTTTGGGTATTACCACTTCAAATTTTCAATATTATGTTGCAGATAAGACCCTTATCTTTAATTGAAGTATCTTATTTATTTTAGCACACAACGTCGGAATATTTCAGTAACAAGACCCCACGTAAGAATGAACTGAGACATAAGATAGGACTTCAACAAGAAGGAATCAGAAAATTGAAGAAGAATAAGGAAAAACAACAGGAGGTATCTGTGAAGCAGTTCAAAAAGCTTGGTGAACAATTTCTTCCAGAAAAATTTTGCTCTTTGGCACAAGCACAGGTGGATTTGAAAACTAAGTTACCAAAAGGTCGTAGATATTCAGAAGAATACAAACAGTTTGCCTTAACTTTATATTTCATAAGTCCCAAGGCATATAGATTTGTCCAAAAATGCTTCATTTTAGAATGACTCATTCAATGAATTTCAATGTAGGACTGAATGATTTTGTATTTGCTGCACTTGAACTGAACATTTCAAACATGATCGACGAAGAAAGAATGTGCACCCTATGCATTGATGAAATGTCAATCAAGTCAGCTTTATTTTATAATTTGTCAAGAGATGAAATTATTGGGTTCCAAAATGATGGAAACAGAAACAAATTTCTACCAGCTCAGTCAGTGATGGTCTTTATGGCTAGAGGAATTTATAGTAATTTCAAACAACCTTTAGGATTTTATTTCAGCAATACAACATGCAAAGCTGAAATTTTACTGAATATAGTTAAAGAATGTATTTTGAAATTAGAGACGCAGGCTGGTTCTAAAGTAAAAGCTGTTTTATCTGATCGAGGGTCTAACTTTGTGGAACTGGCAGAAAATCTGAATGTATCTATAGATAAACCTCATTTCGAGCTCAATGGTAACAAGGTTTACTAAATTTTTGATGCTCCTCATCTGTTGAAGTCTGTTAGAAATAATTTGCTTAAATATAAAATTTGTTTTAATTGTGGCAGGGCATCCTGGAAGGATATTTCACAATTGTATGATTTAGACAAAATTAAATCTCTGAGACTGGTTCCTAAGTTGACGAATACACATATAAATTCAAGAGGTTTTTAAAAAATTAGTGTGAAACATGCAGTGCAAGTTTTAAGTGAATCTGTGGCATATCACCCTATGTGTCTTTAGGAGCCATGACAGCAGAAGCTGCTGGTACTGCTCATTTTCTAGAGAATTTTGATAAATTATTCGACATTTCCAACTCTCAAAGAACAAAAGGAGTAAAGAAATATAATGTATCATTCATGGGTGCTGAATATCAAAATAAATTTCTAGATGTAATGATGGATATTATTGGATCAATGAATGTTTGTGCATGAACATGAATGCTCTTGAAGAATTACGGTATGTTTTGAAAACTCAGGTATGTTCATTCCTTCTAACTAGACGCCTCAATCAGGATAGCCTTGAAAATTTTTTTGGTTCAGTGAGAAGTCAGGGAGACAACAGTACCAATCCTACTCCACAATATTTTATAAATTTATTTGCAGAATTGTTTTCATTATCTTATTTTCAACATAGTGAGGGCGATAATTGTGCTGATGACTTTCACACCATTTTAGCAGAAATCAATACAAGTACTTCAACACAAGCTTTCGAAGAGAAGATTCCAGAGGAAATGCTTACATTCGATTTTACTGATTTCCGAGAAGTTGATTTAGTCTCAGAGAATACCCTATCTTATGTATGTGGCTATTTAATGAAAAAATGTTAAGACATCCATGACTGCGATTTATGTAGAAATGCGTCCAAAAGTGACACGTTGACCTCATCTAATATTTTCTCCCACTTGAAGGTATATGAAACAAAAACTAAGAGTACATTTGGTAACTTGAAAGTACCCGTACAAAGTTTCATTGATTCTGTACGTAGTATGGATAATTTGTTTACTGGAAATTTTGAAAAATTGGCAATTTTACCACAAATTGGTAGACAGCTGCTCATAAAATTCAATGAAATTCCGTTCGATCCTCCATGTTCAAATTTTCCTAGACTTTATGTGTCAAAACTCTTCTGCAGAATGAAAATATTTCATACTCTCAAACATGCCAATAAAAAATACTCAAAAAAAATAGAATATCAAGTTTATAAAATTTATTGAGGAAAACAAATTTTCACTTATATATTTTTCATGTCATCATCACTTGTTCTTGTTCCAATTAAGGTTATGTTGATTTATGAATTGAATAATATTTGTTACTTTATAGGAGCTTTGCGCATTATATATACAGGGTGTTCATTGAAGAAATGCTAATATTTGAGGGAGTGATTTTCTGGCTCATTTTGAGAAGAAAACTCCATATGAACGTATGTCCTGAAAGTCCTAACTTTTGAGATACAGGGTGATGAAGTTTTGAAAAATATTCAGTTATTTGATGATAACTAAGACAATATTGTATACATCTTTATTGAATTTGGTAAACGTATTTTATGCATCGAGATGCATTTTCTGATGTACAAAAATTTTCATTTTCTCTACCAGTGGCACCGTTACGGAAAATTATTGTTTATATTTTACTTAAAAGTGAGCACCGACAAAAAAAGTTCAAATTTCATACAATGCTATGAAAGGCTATTCAATTATGTACGAGGAAGATCCTCTTGTTGATACTCGATAGAACGCTTCGTTTTCGAGAAAAAAACGAAAAACGAGACGAGACTTCAAATTTTGATGTTTGAGTACTCCATTCAGGACATCAATTACTGGATAACCACCGTATGTATCATTTTGAAATTTGTATATCGATTCAGTCACATAGCAGACTGAATTTTGTTATTACAAAAAACTGTACAGGGTGGACAAAAAAATAATCTATGCATATTTTCAACATCGACACCCTGTATCTCAAAAGTTAGGACGTTTACGACATACGTTCATATAAAGTTCTATTCTTGAAATGGGTCGAAGAATCGACCCATTGAATATCAGCACATCATTAAGGAACATCCTATATATTATTATATGAACAGCCAAAAATTGATTTTTTTTCTTGACCAATGAAAATTTAGTCTTTAAACAAAATATTCATGTTTTATGTTTTCTTTCATTGAAGTTCAAGCTGTATATTTTATACATATTATTTTACGTATAAACAGCCCATAATTGATTCTTGTTATGACTTATGGAAAATTGATGGTTGATGAAATTATTTTGTAATTTTACAAACTTCCTCTTGTTCATTGGTGTCCATTCAGGATACATTTGGTTGAATTTTCTGCAAGTTCTGGCAATGATTTGATCCTGTTGTCCATGTATGATAAATAACTTCATAAGAACTTCGTTTGAATAATCGATATTTGCGTTCATTCTGGGAGATTTTTTGAAACACTGTCAATAAAAATAACTGAATTACTCATTATTGTCACCGAACTGTCATGAGTTTGATATTTCCATGGCTATCTGAGATTAACTTTCTCATAAAATTATATTCTTTACAAAAAGCGGCTTTATTAGGAAAACTTGATGATTTAGGTAAAGGGACATGCTATGCCATCTTGTAGCATTTTTATTCGTCTTTCGATTTATTGAGTAAAAAACAGTGGGTTTCCATTCGGAGAAATGAACTTTTGACCACTTGTATGAACAACGGATATTATAATAATTTCAGCACGCCCTGTATGATATGGAGTTAAGTTCTCGGTGTGAATTGAATACATCAAGCCTGTTCAAACCACCACTAAAATATGAACTATTTATGATTCGAGAGCCCTGATTTACATAAGTTCGATCAGGGATATGTTTTGGATCATATTGAACACAAATTATTCTGTATCTCGAAAAATGATAGCGATAGATATAGGGATTTATTGAAAAAAGAGTATTGTAATGAAATAGCAATTTTGAAAATTTGTTAATATACGGGTTGTTCCATTTGAAAAAATGAAGTTAATAGGACTTTTTGATAGAAACGGCAACGTCGCAATTTCGAAAATATTTAAGATCGATAGAACAGGTGATAAAATGTGAGATGCAAAATTTTCAGAAAAATCCTGCGTTGCGTTCTCCATAAACGTCTAACGTACTATCGACCGTGAGTTACCCTGTATATACATTTTAAGTAATTCAAAATGATTTGATGTCTGATCCTGCAGTACTCCGATTATTGGAGATATTTTCTTTCTGATCGATTCAATATGTTTGGACCATGACAAATGTTCATCAAGAAATATCCCATGGTTGTCGAATATTTGAAGATTCAATTATAAAGTAACTTCTCCAAATCAAAACATCCAGTACAGTGTAGTTTAGATCAGGTGAGCGAAGTTCATAGACTTCATTTCCTGTAGAATTTGCAAAAACCGCTTACCGTGCGATAGTACCTAGGTAAGCAATATCGAGAAGCAATGTCCATTCCCATTGCGGAAAATTGCAAACCTAACGTCGATTCCGAATATGAATAGTACCCGACTCGATAA